GTTCAATGATCCTGGATCTGTTATCCTAGATCTTGATCATCTTTTCATACTTGTTTAGTGTTTAGGAAGAAATTTCACAAACTGGTAAAGAAAGAATGAAAAGAGTTTGGGTGTTGGCTGATGAAGACGAATGGGTTTTTCTCCAGGCTGGTCATCTTGTACCTCAAGGCTCACCTCTACTCCAGTATTTGCTGTACTAATGTAGCTCCTGCCCACATGCAAAAACCTCTAGCTCAAGGTACATGTCACTTCCATCACAGAAAGACACAATTAAGGGCAAGTTAATTCCCTAAAGTCTGAGATTCAGAGTCCAACCGGTAGATTTTCCTTACACAAATCATTTATTGAGTAAAATGGGAGCTGCAACGGCATGTGAAAGAAAAAATGGAGGGAGAGGGAAGAAAGGGCAGGCATGTTTCCTGTGAAACAAATACAGCCTGCTTGCAATTCAGGATTATTTAGTATTCTTGGCATATTAAACACATTAGATATGCAGTAAGGCAGATGAGGGAGAAGTAACCGAAGTTCAAGGAGTTGTCCAACCTGCCCAGAGTGTTCTTTTAAATACATGCTTTTGTTCCTCAGAAAATGGAACAAGTCCTCGCTCCAATCCTCAGTTTTTACAAGAGTGCTTCACAACACGTGCAATCATTACTAGGTAAAGAAGATTCCTCAGTTATTCTCTCCGACCTGTCACTGTCACTTGTTCAGTTGGCATTATGAATTCAGCAGCATCTTCAAAGGCTTTTCAAGACACCACCTGTGAACTAATTATGCTGAAGATGAGAGATCTGAACATACCCACAGCCCCTGGCAATGGCTGACAAACAGAGACCAACCGTGGCCACACGTTTGCAACTTTTCCAGCTAATTCTCCATGCTTTAGGCATTGTAGCTTCAAATGGAGGGAGTCAACTCCCAAATGTAAATGGGGCTCCAGCAGAGCGATGCGTAAGTACAACACTACAGTTCTCAAACACAATGTTAGGTTTGCTTTAGTCATAAATGTGTTAAATAGTTTGCCCTCTGTTGTTTGGAATTGTAAGGATTATTTTTAAATCAAAGTGGGTTTTATAGATAGTCACTGAAAGACATTTTGGGGAGGTTGTCACCTGCCTTATGAGCATCAGAGAATGACACAAATTTTTGTGCTGGAATTTTATATGTGCATCTTATAAATAATTTTTAACAATAGAAGGACAAAGGAATTATTAATTATACTGAAGATGAGAAGAAAAACTGTGAGATGAAAGGTCTTTTGCATGTATCCATTTCAGTGCTGACAGAGTCTGAACACTGTGAGAGGAGTTGGAACCTCACCGTCAGTGAGTTCTGCACCTGCTTAGGTGGCAGTTACTAATATTATTCTTTGGATAACTTGAGCTTAAGCAACACTGGAAAATAGATGTCTGTTAAGAAAAGTGACCTTTAGGAGTCAGAGACAGCAGTAACTCCAGGTTTAAGCATCTCACAATGTCGGTGACATTTTCGTTTCTTGCTACTCCTTCCGTATTCCTCCTTCCTTTAAGCAACCTGATCTAGTGGCAGATGTCCCTGCCTGTGGCAGCAGGTTGGAACTGGATGAGCTTTAAGGTCCCTTCCAATCCAAACCAGTCTGGGGTTCTATTCTATATACAAAAATACATATGCATATACTTGCATAAACTAATACCAATGAAAAGTGTTCAAAAATGTGTTGAGAATAGGACAGTTACTGTGTATTCAGAGTTGGAGTAAAATCTCAACAGAAGGTGATTTCAAGATCTTCAGGATTACTATAGACCCTTCACTTTCTACAAAAAGTAAGTAACTTCCCAGTTTGGGCTTTAAGAAAGACCCTGGAAAACTCTTCCTATGATGATAATATTGAGCATCCCATCAGTCATTTCCCTTGATTTATAGGAGACCCATGGCCTGCAATTCTCCCTCATCTATATTCAGTTAAACATTCACTCAGTTTGGGTTTTTTCATAGAATCGTTAGGAGTGGAAAAGACCCTAAGATCATCCAGTTCCAACCCCCCTGCCATGGGCAGGGACACCTCACACTAAACCATCTCACCCAAGGCTCTGTCCAACCTGGCCTTGAACACTACCAGGGATGGAGCATTCACAACCTCCCTGGGCAACCCATTCCAGTGCCTCACCACCCTCACAGGAAAGAACTTCCTCCTTAGATCCAATCTAAACTTCCCCTGTTTAAGCTTCAACCCGTTACCCCTTGTCCTGTCACTACAGTCCCTAATGAAGAGTCCCTCCCCAGCATCCCTATAGGCCCCCTTCAGATACTGGAAGCTGCTCTGAGGTCTCCACACAGCTTCTCTTCTCCAGGCTGAACAGCCCCAACTTCCTCAGCCTGTCTTCATACAGGAGGTGCTCCAGCCCCTGAGCATCCTCGTGGCCTCCTCTGGACTTGTTCCAACAGTTCCATGTCCTTTTTATGTTGAGGACACCAGAACTGCACACAATGCTCCAGGTGAGGTCTCACAAGAGCAGAGCAGAGGGGCAGGATCACCTCCTTCGACCTTTTTCATAACCTTTAGCTCGCTATTGGAACACTGGAGAAGGATCTGCCTCCTTCCAGCAGGGAAACCTTCTCCAGGATAAGCACCCACCAAAGTTGCCATGAGGTGAAGTTGGACAATAGTAATTAACCAATGACCTACAAAGCCTAGATTAAGTAAGGAGGAGGCTGATGCTCTGTATTCTGAGTTTTCTGCCTCCACCTCCTTCCCCAGCCTACTGCCTTCTCTGCTGCAGCACCTGAGAGACTTAGTTTCTGACCCTTTGGATTCCCTTTAATAGCCTTTTCAGCTGCTTAACTTCATAGCAAGTGATGGTATCATCTAGTGTTTTACCAGACTATCCATTCTGAGAGCTTTTCTTTAAACAAAACCCCCTTCATGTTGTCTTTCAGGGAACAGATGCAGTTTTTCAACTGCATACTGACTTCAGAGTCCTTTCCTGTCATTCCAAGTTGGATTCAGTTTGCATCTATTAAAACTTCAGCTTCTTCCAAACTTTTCATCTGTTGTGTCCCATATTTTCAATTTTATGCTGGAAAAAGACCTCTGTTCTGAGAATTAAAGCAGGGATCACTATAAAAGGGTGCTAAGCATTTCCATCCTGCCCCCAGAAATACATGTAATTTTACTCATTTATCATATATCACTGCAGACAGCAAGAATTCAATATTACTTGATTACTTGATAATATCACTTGAATATCAGGTTTTTGAAGTGAGAAAACACTGTACTTCTGTGTTGTAGCGCTTACCTATGGAGAATAAACCCCAAAATATTACTAGAGTCCATTCCAACTGTAACCATCCAGCGTAAACCATCATTCCCTGAGCAGAGCTTGGAACAATATCAAGCTAAAGGGACTTTTCAACCAATTACAACCCCCAGCATTAAATGACACGTGGACCAAGGTTCTCCTATCACTACGTTGCACAACTGCTATAATATCCACAACTCTCTTTGTTTTCCTGGCTTCTGTTAGCTACAAAAATAATTTCTCAGCTTGTTTTCAGCTGCTTCATAGCCCAAAGCAACCGTGAAAAATCACAAGGATAGGGACTTCTATGACAAACACTATCAGCTTCTTGCAGGTTAAGGAAGTCCATCCCTCCCGTCCTACTCTGCGGCTGCTGTGTTTCGTGATGAACACCGGCCATGCATAAATTGCTCAGTCGTTCTTTGTGAAGGGCTCTGCACTGCAGGCATAGCAGATCCTCGGCACGTAGGAGAGACAGAGTGCTCTGGAGAGCTCACTGCTGAGAAGAAGGCAGACAGGCAGCGCCCGTGCGTCTGCAGAGGACACCGGAGATTGCCCTTCCTAAGCCCTTTAATTAAAAGCACTGAAGATTTATACACTTGTCTCTCTGCTCCTCTCAGGTGGGTGGAGCAGCCTGCTGCCTCGCTTTCCTTCCACAGCTCTGTTTAATCTGTGTTTTTAAGTAGGGAGTACGTTACTACTTCCTAACAGCTTTACCTTCATGTATAGGATATGCCAGGGGAAAATTCTCTGTGAGTTTGTCTCCCAGATGATCCCCATAATGCTTCCCAGACTCCTATTGGGGATGACCTGAGCATCACCTATTGTACCACGTTATGCACATAGAAATAATATCAGCCTGTTGGGTCTGATGCTGCAACTGCATCCCAGGGAAGGGCTTTAAAGTAGAACAAAGGAAGCTAGAGCATGGTACATTAGATTCATGACTTCCCCTTTGGGAAATGGTTGGGAATATTCACAGAATCATAGAACAGTTTGGGTTGGAAGGGACCTTCAAAGGTCGTCTGCTCCAGCCCTCTTGCAATGAGCAGGGACATACAGGCTGAACTGAAGGAATTCTTTAACACCTCTGGGCAGGGCAGCCTCTGTTTGATAGCCTGTGCCAGGCTGGCAAGCTCCACTGAGGTGTCCTCTGGGAAGCAGCAATGGGAAGCCCTGAGAAAATGGGAAGTCAGCACCAATGTCAGGACCTCTTACCGCCTGCCAAGCCAAGGGCAGGCTTTCCAGCTCTCCAGGAACTCCTTCTGGCACCCTAAAATGAGAACCACCTCATGGTGAAGTCTTAGATCCATCCTACGAGTCATTCATCGATGAGACAGCAAGAAGCCTGTAAGCCTCAAACCAACGTTCATGTTCACAGCAACACCAGAGCAAGGTCAGGTTATCACAAAGAACAAACACAGCAATGGCACCGCGCGGCTGCATTGCCCTGCGTACATCACCCTGGGGCAGAGGCTGGATGGGGGAAAACAGGGATGTGGGGAGGGCTTTTCTGAAAGGGGAAACTTGAGAAGAGAACAAAATATGGAGCCTGGAGGGAAAGACAAACCAATGGATGCACAAAGACGGAAGGAGACAGTCCAGCACCACCACAACAAAGCTGCTTGTAATCAATTCCAGTTATTGATATGGCAATGCATTGGTATGAGTCCCTGAGAAGAAGTACCCAGACATACTTCGTGAATGTATGTGGATACTGACCTGGGCTTGAGACAGGACTAGAGGTAGTAGGCTCAATAATTTCTACAAAAAGGGAAAAGGAAAAAAAAAAAGAACATTTGGGAGTTAATCACACATGGAAGACAAGTACAGAATGAGACAGCAAACAGTCATGCAACAGACACGACACGTTCATCACGAGACCGGGCTGGCCATTGCAGGCCGGTGACAAACATGCACCAGCCTCCTGTGCCCATGAGCTGCACATTAGCATCTGTCTTTTCCCAGCTGTATTACTCATCTTCACCATACACAACTCATGTGTCACCATATACAACTCATGTGTCACCATATACAGCTCCCGTGTCACCATATACGGCTCCCATGTCACCATATACAGCTCCCATGTCACCATATACAACATCAGGACCATCCCACTCCAAATATACACAGATTATTGCTGCCACCTTGGCAAAGCAGCCCTTGGAGCTTTCAAGATCAGAACCATTTTGCCTGGGAATAACAAAGCCTGGCTGGAAGAAGGGCATTTTGCCCTCCTTACTGAAAGTAATTTCCTCTGATGAGTAAAAGTTAGGGTAATAACTTTGAAAAAAGTAATAGTTTTGTGCTTTAGTGAACTTTTAAAATTGCATATCTTTTTAATTATTGAACCTTTCCCGAAGAAAACATTTCTCAAACCCATCAAACCCATTTTGAAGATGTTTACTTCACCTGGGGCAACCAATACAAATGGCAGAAAGAGTTAAGAGCGCAATTCTCCAGCATCCAGCCTAATGAAACAATCACCTGTGGCTTTTCATTATAATTTTACTTTAAAATTCATTATTCTCTGCCTTCTTATTAGCTCTGAATAGTGCTATGCAAAATGAAATACCAGTCCCAATCAATCTCGCACAGGAGCCCGCACCATCTCAATATAGCCATTCAATACCCTTAATAAAAAAGGTTTAACAAAATTACCAAGCTCAAAAGATCATTGACCACATCTTGACTATAACAAGAAACTAATGAAAAACCATGTGGGCGAGCTGACAACAATGGATGTACGGGTAATAGCTGAACACATTCTCCTCTCTCGTCCAGTTCTACAATTACTGCTCAGGTTAATGTGATGCAGAATTATGCTAAGTGAAAGAACAGACAAATATTTTGCCAAACAGAAAGTTATGAAGTTTCTTCACCAACTTACTGACACAAAGAACTCCGATAATAGAGATGGATGCTTCCAATCTAAAAAATATTTACTTGACATCTTGACAAGCACATCGTTGGTGCTGATAAATTCAAACCACATCACTTACAATACAACGGAATTGGAATTGTATTACTCCAACATTTTTGAAATTTAAAACCCATGAAGGCTGGTGACATCTTGAGCAGTCCTGAACATAAAAAGGGTAATAAGTCTAATATGAAGGTTCCCTGCCCCTGCACAGGGGTAGTTTATGTATGTGGCAGTGGAGAGAGCATCCCAGGTTTGTACTCCCTGCCATAGTGCTTGGGTGATGGGGTGCAGGGCAGCAGGAGCTGACTGCTTCCAGCAAGCCTGACACAAAGTCAGTGAAGGACATAAATGATGGTAGAGGATTCTTCTGGGTGTTGTGTTGTGCTTCAGACAAAGTTTCTACTTAACTGGATACGGTGCAAATGGGGTTTTAGAATCATAGAATCCCAGCCTGGTTTGGGATGAAAGGATCTTAAAGTTCCTCCAGCTCCAACCCCTGCCACGGGCAGGGACCCCTTCCACTAGAGCAGCTTGCTCCAAGCCCCTGTGTCCAACCTGGCCTTGAACACTGCCAGGGATGGGGCAGCCACAGCTTCTCTGGGCACCCTGTGCCAGCGCCTCAGCACCCTCACAGGGAAGAGCTTCTGCCTAAGAGCTCATCTCAGTCTCGGATTAAAGCCGTTCCCCTTGGCCTGTCCCTACTCGCTCTTATAAAAAATATTTCCCCAGTATATTTAACAGATATAAAGCAGAATCACGGAAAGCTACAGAAATAACTGTACAGTGAAGACTGCTGAACTAAACTGGTTTCAGCAATGTCTGACTTTCAGTAAACATGGACTTTGCTACATTGACCTGGGTTAGGAAAGTGTGCAAGAGCCATAGCGATGTATCTGTGGGTTTGAGTCCATCTGCTTAAGACCCCAAATCTGCTTTCTTAGGAGACAGGCATAACGAAGGTCCTGGCTGATGTCCCATTGCATGGGGGGCCTGGAAGAGCCTGCCAGGGCAGAGCTGAGCTGCTGGCGATGGCCCTGGCCGAGGAGTGCTGCTCATGCTTCAAGTAAAGAGAAAGAGGAAGGCAGCACACCAGAATGTTCCTGGCTGTCTACACCCATGATACTCGCTATGAAATAAGGTTGTACTCCTGCATAAAGCAAAGCAGGTTTTAGAAGGAGAAAAAGGAATTGTGTTAAGAGGCTCAGAAAAACTAAAGAATTATCAAGAATTCCTCAATTCTGTGTTTTAATGACTGTTTTATAAGGATTCGATTTTGCAGTCTTTAATTTTGTCTGAATCTTTATGTTCTGAGAAATTACATCCTGCGTCTCATGTCTAATTAGCAGCTTTGCTTCAAGTGCATTGTACAGCGATGACAAAAGTTATTTTTCTGGCTACCCTACTGCAGACTCTTTTCCTTCTGAATTTAGGAGTCAATCTGTCTTGTTGCTATGGCTTCCTGTAAAGGAGAAGGTTCCTCTTGCTGCAGAATAACAACATTCTTTACAACAATGAAGTAAATTAATATACTCTATGAGTACAATAATTAATTAAAAGGCAAAATACCATACCCAAACCAGCAGGGATTTTACTAGGATCATGTCTCTTTTGGGAACATTGGATTTAGACTTAATTGTAGGTGCTTAAGGTAGCATAAAATCACAGCCTCGTAGCATCACTGAGGCTGGGAGTGAAGGTGGTAATATCATGCATAATTCTTGCAAAAATCTCATTTTTGAAATCCATTATTAGGTTAAGGAATTGGGGGAGGTGGATATATTCCTGATTTCAAGTTCTAAACCTCTCTGCAAATCTTTATTCATTAAACTGTTCAGGTCTATGGAGGGAAAACAAAACCAGCTGGTTTTCCTATAAGCACACTAGGCTGGTTCATCAAAATTGAAATACATTAATGACTTCTTAGTGGCACTGGGAGGCAGAGGTGTGTAGGGAACAGTGGTCGTATCCTGGTATCTGCACTTCATTTTGCTGGGACCCCAATCCCTCAAGATCAGGACTGCTCAAATTTTCAAGGGTGGAAAACCCTATGCTAGTATAATGGGAAATGGATATTGTGTGTCACTGCTGTGACTTCAGTGGAGAATTCTCCTTCAGCAGAATCTTTAAGATTTGTTTCATAAAGCAGAGGAAAATCAATGTGTCTACACTGCCTCTTAGCCTGCCCTTTACAGCACTGGTGCTGTCCAGATTGCTGCGTCAGGATCCTTGTTGTTATCACAGAATGGTTTGTGTTGGAAAAGACCTGAAGATCATCCAGTTCCAACCCCCTCACACTAAACAGTGTCACCTAAGGCTCTGTCCAACCTGGCCTTGAACACTGCCAGGGATAGCAGTAACACTCCTCTGGTGTAGTGGGTGCGAGCCAAAAGCATCTCGCTATTTTAAAGCAGAGCTTTAATTCAAGATGGGATCAAAAAATACAAAGAGGAGCATGCTGGGCATAGGGGTAGTGACATAGCATCACTGGCTGCTAAACATACATGGGAAACTGGTAACTCCTGTCAAGGTCTACTGATGCCTAAAACCACTGACCAAGGTAGTCCTTATACCCGACTGACCACATGGTGAATGCCTGGGGATGCTGCCAGAGATGTCATCATAGAAAGCAGAACTTCACAGCGATGGTTTGGGATGAAGCTGGAATGAGAATCATAGGATGGCTAGGGGTGGAAGGGACCTTAAAGACCATTTAGTTCCAACCCTATCCTGATGTTTTAGAGGTGCTGCCAGGCACTTGAAATGTGCAGAAGTCATGGAGCTAGCTTTAGGAGAAGGGCTGGTGCACTGAAGGACCAGTGGCAGCTGCCCTCTGGGGTCAAGGCTGAATCCCTAACTCAGGCAGCTTTAAGAAGAAAATAGGGGAAGGCTGGGAGAAGCTGAAGGTCAATCTCTGCAACTGTGCATAGGAGGAGAAAGAAAACAAAGTGATCACAGACAGGACAGCAAGTAAAGACAGATTAAGTGCGTGGAAGAAGTAGTAGTGCCGCTGAGAACAGCAGTCAGCTAAGTGATGCTGGCAGGAGGGGTGTACAAATCACAGCCTGACACTGAGCGTGGCCAGGGAGGAATAACACAACTGCCTGTAAGCAATGCAAAGAGCTCTGGATGGAGTTGACTGCAACCAAAGGCAGCAGTGCAGGGTGGCAGTGACGGCTGAAGCCATGGTGGAAGAGGGAAGGGAGCACTCCAAGAGACTGCTGCATCCTACGCTGGTGCTGGAATGGAGTACAAAGAAGAAAGAGAAGATGACATGGGTAAAACAAACTGTCTGTCTTAACATTACTTTGATAAAGGTAGAGAAAAGTGTTCTTGGGATAACACAAGGAAATCTATTTATCTGGAAAGTCAGATTTTGATAGCGAAAACCAGAGAGATTTTAAGCAGAAAAATACTACAGGTCCTGGTGTAGCGGCCTGACTTGGTGTAGGTGAAGGAGGGGAAATGGGGGATAAGGTGATCACAAAGATGCTGCGAGGGCTGGAGCAGCTCTGCTCTGGAGCCAGGCTGAGAGAGCTGGGTTGGGTCAGCCTGGAGAAGAGAAGGCTCCTGAAGGGGAGACCTGAGAGAAGCTCCAGTGCCTGAAGGTGCTGCAGGAAAGCTGGAGAGGGGCTTGGGACAAGGGATGTAGGGACAGGCCAAGGGGAATGGCTTTAACCTGCCAGAGGGGAGACTGAGATGAGCTCTTAGGCAGAAGCTCTTCCCTGTGAGGGTGCTGAGGCGCTGGCACAGGGTGCCCAGAGAAGCTGTGGCTGCCCCATCCCTGGCAGTGCTCAAGGCCAGGTTGGACACAGGGGCTTGGAGCAAGCTGCTCCAGTGG